TACAATCTTTTCCTTTTAATATTGGCGGTATACAAGCCTTTTGTATTTCTGAGGGAAAATTTATTGACATAGCTTTCAATGCATCAACTAGCCATGAATTTAACCCCAATTCCTCAAATGTTTTTGCTGATGGTTTCTCTGATATTATTTGCAATTTAATCTCATTGACGAATTCCTCTGATTCTGAAGAATTGAATTCATCGTTAGATAATGACATTTCGTAAGATCTGGATCTGCGTATAAAATGAGAATTTTACATTCATTAACTGCACTGCAGTGTAACTATAGTTTTGAATTTGAATATTGAATATTGAATACTAGGAAAGTAAATTACTCAAATAATATGCAGTAATTCGTTTCAGGTGTTAAAAAACGATTTAGGTAAGTAATTAGGCCATTTTATTATATTAATAAAGATTTTTGTCTATTTATACAGTAAGTATTACACGTAAAAATTATACAAATCAATAATTTTAGAAATACATGAATCGCAATAAAATATAAATTTTAACTAATAAAAATCTAGAAGTGCTTTTAGCTAAGTATCCAAATTTAAAATCACTTACAATAATAGGTTATAATCATATAAACCTGAAAACAATTACAAAATATTGCAATTGCAACCTAGTTTGAAAATATTAGTAATTAATTAAAATTTATTTATAAATTAAAGAGGAAATAATGATTAATTTCAAAAATTATACCTAAAAATAAAGCTCATATTTGACAAAAAAACAGAATTTGAAATTTCCATACTAAAGGTTAGATGAGTGATAGAAAAATTTTCATATTATAAATAAATATTTATGTTTGAATCATTCCAATCAAATGATTTTTTTTATTATTCTTTTGAAACAATAATTTGAATTGTTTCAAATGAACAATGTTTATTATTCATTTAAAATAATAATTTAAATTATTTCAAAGAAATGATATTTTTGAACTATTCTAACTGAATAATAAAAAAATCATTCAATTAAAATGATTATATCATTCTAACTGAATAACAAAATAAATCGTTCAATTGAAATAATTATATCATTTTAATCAAATAATAGTAAAAAATCGTTTAATTGAAACAATTATATCATTTTAACTAAATGATAAGTAAAAATTATTCAATTAGAACAATTATATCATTCTAATCAAACGATAAGTAAAAAATTATTTAATTAAAATGATTATATCATTTCAACTAAATAATAAAAAAATTGTTTAATTGAAATAATTATATCATTCTAATTAAACAATAAATAAAATATGACTTTATTGATATTGTTATAATAAATTGTTTTGATAAATTATTTTATTATCTGATATACTATTTAAGTTTATTTCTGACATATATAGAAATATTTATATAATTTTTTTATTTATAATTTTAATTCAAACTTTATCTTTTTATAATCAAATTTTACTTTTTCAAATTTCTCTTTTTTACATATTATTAAAATGTTGAAAAAAAATTGTCTTAAGAATAAAAAGAATTTAAATTGAATTTTATTAATCAAACAGTCAACTTTTCAAATAATAAACTGATAATTACTTTCTATATAGAAATAAAATTACAAAAATACCTTTAAATATCAAAATCAGATGAAGAAAAAATCAAAACTTAATAAACCAATTTTTTTATTTTATATTATAGAAATATATCTTTAACTATCAAAATTAGATGAAAAAAGTTGAAATTTAAGTTGAATTTTATTCAACTTTTCAAAAATAATAAACTGATTTTTTTTATTTTCTATAATAGAAATAAAACTACAAAAATGCCTCTAACTATTAAAATCAGATAAAAAAAAGCTAAAATTTAAGTTAAATTTTAATTAATTTTTTAAAAAATAAACTAATTTTTTTTTTATTTTCTATAATAGAAATAAAATTATAAAAATGACTCTAATTATCAAAATCAGACAAAGAAAAAACCCAATACTTAAATTAAATTTTAATTAATTTTTTCAATTAATAAACTGATTTTTTTATTTTTTATATTAGAAAGAAAACTACAAAAATACTTTTAATTATTAAAATTAAACTAAAAAGAGTTAAAATTTTATTAGTTTAATTTTATTAATCAGTCAATTAACTTTTAAATAATAAACTGATTTTTATTTTCAATTATAAAAAAAAAGATGAATTTCAAATGATTTAATGAAAAATAATAGATTTTTTTATTTTTTACTATTTTATTTATTATTTTTTATATTTTTTGAACGATTTTGAAAGATTT